GCAGTTTACCACAGAGGATGGTGACAATGCTGAGGGTATATGGATGTTTTAGGAGCAGGAGAAACAAGATCGTAAGTTCTCAGCATTCCTCTAAGGCTGGATGATGACAGTAATGATGTGACAAAGTGCTTTAGTAATAACAAAACTTTAGCTGTAATCACTTTGCAATACTTTCTTATTCTGAGGTTCCCCAGTGAAATGCTGGAGATCCCCCCCAGTAACAAGAAAACACAGTTGGCTGAATTGTGAGGCTGAGGATGGGGGCACAGGGATTTTTTGCTCTCTTATTTTAGTGTGAATTTTTAGCTCCACTTAAATTAGAAAAAGCAGTCTGCTCCAGCAAGATGCGGAACGTAAGGCAGGGAGCCTGGTTTTATGGCTATTTGGAGACCAGGGAGTCAGGTGTGGGAAGATGTCCAGATGGCAAACCCATACCGCTAGTATTGTGGAATAGCTGAGTCTGTGCACACCTTCTCCTTGCTGGTGGTGGAGCATCAGGAGCAGAATCTAAGTGTGGATTCAGTTATTAGGAGCCCAGTAGTTTCTGGAGGTCTTTAGAGCAGGTGAGGAGAGATTTTGCTTGGCCCCCAAGGCTTGCATTGGTTTCATTAGGTGCAACTGCACACCAGGATTTCTTCTTCATAGACTCTGAGTACAGGGAATGAGAAATCTTCTTGCAGATGCAAGCATCATTACGTGGACAATTAGTCCAACTACTGCTATTTGTGTGAGCAAATTTATGAAGGGTAAGAGAAAAAAGAAGGGCATATTTTGAACGTGTCAAATTCTGCTTCCCTGTTTAGGAACAGGTTATTTTAAAACAAGCAAATGAACAAACAACCTGGAACTGGACATCCTACTCCTCAGCCTATCTTAAAAAAACAAAACAAAACTCTGGAAGTTGGTTAGCACGGACTCTTTTTTTTCCCCCCTAAGTGGTCATACACTATATCCAACAATTAATTTAATAGGAGTGCTGTCAGAAAACATGCTACCTGTTGCCCTGCAGGAGTGACTTCTTTAATTCTGCATTTATAATTTTTGTGGGTGAATAACAGCCTCATATTTCTTTCTCCCCCAATAAAATATTTATTAGCAAACATCGTGCTGCACAAATTAATGCTGTATGATTTCTTTCCAGGCATTCTTTTTTTTTTTTTTTTTTTTTTTTTTTTTTTTTTTTTTTTTTTGTAACAGTAATGCTTACACTCACAGTAAACACTCTGTAATTTGCTTGTTTTATTTGGAGGAGAACTTGCCTGTGGGCAAAAGCTATGAAAGCCCTAGAGACACAGAAGTGACTGAAGCTTTCATTTTAGGCCCTTGCTAACGTGGGTACAGAGCTGATAGCTGCTGTCTTTCGAGTGGGACAGGAGAAATGATCTCTGGTGGCTCTTCAAAGCCTGTAGGAAAAAAATCCCTGGAATCTTTCCCTGCTGAAATGAGATTTCCTGTTTCAGTGGCTTGGTTGTGATTGTTATAATCTTGTCTTAAGTGAGTAACAACTTGTCTTGGCGCATTCCTGACAGCAGGACCAGCACACAGGAATTCCTTCCCTGGGTATCATTCCCAGGTTGGCCAACTAACCTGAGCTGTTGGTCAGAAGGATCTTGGGATCAAGCTCCTCTTCAAACCCAACGTAACACTCTCTTGCTGCCTGTATGTATCAATGACCACATGCTGTGGTGGTACTTATTCCTAGCTTTCTACATCCTCCTGTTTATGCATGAGGAGCTTTAGCCAAGCTAACCAAAGCCCCGGTGTTTCAGTGATTAATTCCCAGAAAAAGCTCAGAGGAAAATGATCAGCTGGGAGCTGATTAAATACCTCTCAAGCCAGCCCCATGATACTCCCAGTTGGGTGAGAAAGACCGCAGGCTTTGCTGAAGTAAGGCTAGGATGAGAGGCTCTGGCCAAGAAGTACAGCCGTGCTTGATTTTTAAGTGATGCTTTTTGCTCCTTTGGCCCTTGTCCGGCTGCAAGCCGTGAAGGCAGCTACAGCCTGTTGTTAATAGGTAACAATTTGGCTCTAATTCTAAATCCTTTTACTGAAATCCTGCAGGAGGTTGGTGATTTTTGTAATCTAACTTGAGCCTCTGTTCACATTCCACCCGTATACCGTGAATGCATCTTCATTAGTCTGTGTGTGTATGGGTATTGTAGGTAACATCCACAAGTGCTGGCAGGAATGGAAAATATTTAGCAGGAGGAATTTCACTTTTCTCTTTGCTTAACATTTTTTTTTAAACATCAAGCATATCTTTCAATAAAAATAATTAATGTGTTTATTTTAACCAGAGCTGGGTAAGTAATTTGCATTAAAGAAATTACCCTATTCATCTTTTTTAGATCAGGCACAAGTTGTGACTTTCTCAATGTACTTCCTATTCAAAAAGATTTCCCGAAACCTTTTCATGAATGAATCTGTTGGGAATCCTTCCACAGACAGTTTGGTATAAGCATTAATTTCAGCAATTAATTCTAGTAGAACTCAGTGTCCAAATATCTTTAATTTTGAGCATCGCCAGCTAATTAGTCGAAATCTAAGTCGTTTCTATTCAAAAGGCAAATTGTCATCTTGTAAGACAACAGTAACTTTGGAGTTGTTTGAATTTTTTTGTAATTGTCTGGCTATTGTTAATTGGAGCTGTGCTCTTCTGTGGTCTTCTGTATTATTCAGTGTTTGAAATCTTTGCCACTGAAGTTTGCAGGAAATACATTTTTCTAATGGACCCCAGCGCTTTATCTACTGTTTCAGCAAACACAACCATCCAATTCCCTCACTAGCGCACTGGAGGAAGGGGAATGATGAGGCACCAATCCAATCAGAATTTTAATATTAAAATACCAAGAATAAATACTCAGATAAAATATTTGGCAATATAACCTAGCTCTAATTTGCACATTTTAAAAGCTGATCTTTCATGTCCCCTCGAGTTCTTTGTTCATCTGAGCCCCTGGATAAAGTGCATGGAAATTCAGAGGATATCTTATGTCATCACTATTTGTGTTAATGGCTTAGGAAACCCACAATCCAATCAGTTAAAATAAACAGCCCAGTGTAATAGGAGCATAAATCAATGAAGACTTCATTACTGAAACCTTAATGTGTAATCCATCCACCTACAGAGAAAAAGGATACTGAGAGGCAGCAAGACAAAACTAGAGGGCTGATATTTAAAAAAGGTGCTGAGAACTGTAACTCTTCCTGGAGTCTGTAAATTTGGTGGGTACTCATCACCCCTGACAGCCTGCTCCTGACTACTTAGTCCCCATGCTTAAAAAATGCCAAGAAATGCAGGAAGAGAGCTCTCATCACTGTTTACTTCCTCTGAATGTACTGGGGGACTTGAGACAGTTCAAGACTGGATAATGAGCAAAGACATCACTGAAACTATCCATTACCAAGAAGTAGCAGTATTCAGAGCTGCAATAACCCTGCTGCAGCTCTTCCCCTCTGTGCACTCCGTTGAGCTGGTTCCATGAATTTGAATGTCCTCTCTAAGATGAGAGTTGTAATGGTGGACCATGAGTTACTGTATTTCATTGAAGTCAAATAGCTTGTCTTGGCTGGGAAAGAACCAGCAGTGCCATCATAGTGACTCTTTTGGAAGCTTGGTTGGAGGGAGCTGCTGAGCATCCCATAGGAGTTCTGTGACACAAGTGGGAGCTCTGGCTGACAGTCTTAACTGTGAAAGCTGACCAGTTTCTCTGCTTCATTCCCATATCTGAGAGCACGCCTTCCTCCACTACAACAGCAAAAGGGTACAGTATAGAGCTGCCTAATTAGCTGCAGCATCCTCAGAGCAGTTTCGGATTGAGCTGTTGCTTTAGCTGAGAGCCACTGGAAATAAGTTGTCCATCTGCATTAGTGACAGCCATCCTTACAGATCTGACTTAGACATATTTTCTTTATGTTCTTTCTATAACTTCTTTTTCCTAGATGTTACTTCTTGATTTCTGCCTTTATATATTCAGTTACATAATGTTAAGTATGTCATAGAATGGTTAAGTCACTTTGGCTGGTAAGGTGACCACATATATCCAGAATGGGTACTGGTAGGTTTAATTTCTGAAGCGCTTCAACATTCAAGAGCCATATATGTGAAAAATGTTATTCTATTTTAATAACTTAGTGGGTGATAAAGTGATCCTGATCTAGTTTATGTGAAATAAGTAAGGTTATTAATAACCAAGGCTACCAAAAGGGAAGTTTGCTGTTATACTGGAAATTCTTATTGCGTTGTATTTGTACAGAAATTAAGAGATCTAGAACTTAACCCAACTCTCTCATATAACAGTACAGACTGATGAGACTTCAATCTTAGCAAAGAAATCTGGATACAGCAGGATTCAAGTAAGGGTTGCAATGTATGACACAGATGGATGGTAGATAGCCAGTGTTTCCTTCTCCACAAACATGCTGTATCTCATTTCCTCTAGAGAAAAATGTAGGGTCAATCTAAAGCAGAAAGCGTGATGTCAGGGTGTGCTGTTTGCTCAGTCTTAATTAAAAATAAGTTTAGGGTATCTTTCTGCTCACCAGCCTCCAGAGTTCCATGTGGTTGTAGCTGTAAAGCTGCAAAGACAGGGTGATTTTCTTGTGAAGGAGATTGATATGGCTTGTAGATATTCTTTTCCATCTGCTGTAATAACGGATGTTCTTATTGAAAATGACAACACATTACTGGGTTAATTTCCTCAGCTTTGAGGTAACCAGACTGATCCAAAGAAAGAGGTGTTCTTTAGAATTAAGATATAAACACTGCAGAAATGCTACTGTGTATTAAATATTGCGTGGTAGGATCACTGTGTCTGTCAGAGGCTTTTAGAAGGTGTTAGCAATATGGCTGCACGTATTCACTGGACAGATGGCACAGAGTACTCAGTACCCAAATAAGGATTTCGGTGTGTCTGCACTACATGGGGCACTGTAGCCTGATGTAGTATGAAATTCACTGTTCTGAATTCAACACTAAAATTGTTGTGTTTCCTTTTCAGAGCTCCTGTGACAAGGATGTCCTCCTGAATATCCTCAGTGTCCTCACTGACCTGCTCTCTTTAGGTAAGGAAGCATTGCTGGGGCAACGCTTGCACGCTAAGAACAGGATTTTCCTAATTCTTAGTAATCAGCCACTGGAAATATTCACCTGCGCAGTTTGGGGGGGGGAGGCTGTGAAACAAAGAGAGGAACCTGACTTCCCAAACCACAAATACTTTATAATAGAGGGAGTTCGGCACCTCCACTTCAGGGCTGCAAGGATGACATGTTGCTTGCTATGTGTGCCTGAGGCACATCAAAAAATAAGTGAATTGGAAAAAAAAAAAATAAAAAAAATTACATGTATTTTTCCTGGCACTTCACCTCAGAAATATTATTAATGTTATTTGTTCAGTAATTCTCAACCCAACTGAACTACTAGGCCACATCAGTAAGAACTGGAGGCTCCTGCATTCCCCAGTCCTCACAGCCCCATCACAGACATTGTGTGCCCAGCTAAGCTGCTCCTTGCAAGTCCTGTGGGATCATTCCTCATTAGATGGAAGGTTTGCATACTGGGAGAGCAGGAGAAGCATCTCCCCTCCAGGTGCTCTGTGGGCTGAACGTGCAGCTGATTCCAACCAAGGAGAGTTGGTTCAGCTGCCAAAGGTGACCATGGACTCCTGTTTGTTGACGTGGTAGGGCTCACAGGATTAGTTTCTGGTTTCTCTGAAGACCTAGATTTGTCTGAAAGCTTCCCCAGGATTCATTTTCATTTGGCAGATGCTTGTTGGAGATTTTTTTTTTTTTTTTTTTTTTGCTGGTCTAATTTCCAATATCTAAGAAAAGATCACTGAACCTTCTGTGCCTTTGAAATCTGTTGGTGCCTCTGTTTATTCCTCTGCACTGCATTTCAATGCACAATGAAAAACCTCTGCAGTGGTTTTGTGAAGGTAATGACTGCTGAAGTGAGATGAGAAGAGAGCATTGTTTTTTCGTATCACTATTAGCCACATCTCCAGTCTGGGGGCAATCAAGAGGTCAACTCTGCAAATGGTCTGGGGTTTATGGCGATAAAACAACTCGAGAAGGCCATGGGAACACTGTGTGCATTGTGCAGGTTGAAAGTTAACGATGCACATCTGTGGTGAGGATGGTCTGAGCAAAGCCTTTCTTGTCCCCTTTTCCCCAGGGACTGGACGAAGAATTCACTATGTGATCAGCAAAGGGGGTAGTGAGGCACTGCTGCAGGCCCTCATCTCTGCTGCCCGGACCGAGCCACCCGACCCCAGCATCCTCCTGCCTCTGCTTCGCCTCCTGGCCAGGGTTGGCCAACAAGGTACTGCTGCACAGTGGGATGCTCGGGGTTAGGGGAGTGGGCTTAAAACTAACAGACAGTCTCAGCAATAATCAGCACTGAGATGTTCCTGTTAGTGTTTTGAGTTTACTTTTGGGTTGCTCTACTTTGGAAATACTGGTCATCTGCAGTTTGGCCAGTTGGAAGTCTTGCAAAAAGACAGGGAGAGTGTACTCACGCACATTCTGCCTTGGGCTGAACTACTAGCTGAAAAGTTCCCCCCTAGCAGAAATTTATTTTTGATTCTCTTAACCGAAGTGAAATCATAAAATGGTTTTTCTTTGTATATGGTGACTGTAGGTAATTCTGATGCTCTCTTGTTTTCAGTGTAACCTGCAAATAACAGCAATCTAACTCACTGGTACACTTGAATGAATTTTTAATGAAATCCCCTCTCATGAGATTTGGTCCAAGTTTGTTTATCAAGAGTTCTGCAGATACTTAGTCTTTACAGCAATTTTGATTCTGCTTTGCATTTCACAGACCGGAAGTTTGGGATTAAAGTGCAGAAAGCAGAAGCAACTGATGTAATTCTGAGCTTGACGAGGCAAAACCTGGGTCACCACCTGAACCTCACCCACTGCCTCTGGGTCCTGCGGGTTTGTGCTTCTAATGGTGAGTACCTAGGTTTCCCTCCTTTTCTCACAATGGCAATTAGTAGAGTTCTTTTTAGTCATTTCAGTGCAAATAAGCATTTCTGTTTAGAATTGTCTGCGTGCACTGTTAATACATGGAATTGAACACAAAAATCCAGAATAACCCTAAAAAGAAATATTCCTAGAAGTGTCTATGCAGCCTTTACAAAGTATTTCACATGTGGACTATCAAATATAGGTGGAAAATATTCATGAATATGAAAGTATTTATGGCAATGGTCTCTGATTCCATAATACATACAGCCAACTCCTTTGCTGGGGCCTGGGTACCTTTAGTTGCTATGCAGTTTCTGTTATCATAATAGCCAAGTGTTTCACTGTTGTTGATTGTATTGATCCTCAGAGTAGCTGTACAGGGTAGGGTAATGCAGTTGGAGCAACAGAGGCAAGAGGCAGAGAGAAATCACTTATTCAGGGTCCTTCAGGAAGTACAGATTAGAGCTGGGAACTTAATGTCTGGTCTCCTCTCCTGTCTTAGTGTTCCTTCCCTTGTCTTGTTTGGCTATGCCTTCATATTAAGCAATTCAAGCAACAGGATTTCCAGTATTACCCCTAAGGATCCTTAGAGATTCATACAGGTTTTCCCTGCTGTGAAGCACTGAGTATGTCAGCACAAGTTTCCCTTTGCTCACTCTAACCATTTCTTTTTCCTCCCTCCCTTTCCTCACCCAGCAGATAATTCTTGACAGCCATCCTGCCTGCAGTCTGCTTCATGCATCTTAAGATTTAGCATTCCTGGCTCCCAGCCCCGCAGGTCCCTTCTAGCTGTACAGGAGCTAGTTTCATGCAATGGGCTTTCTCAGGCAAGCAGCCAAACCTCAACATTCAGCCCTTCTCCCTGCTATAAGCAGCATTTGAAAGACCAAGTCTGACTGAAAATGCAGCCAAGACCAGAAGCTGAAATGTGGCTTTATTTGAGTTTCACAGCTGTGTAATGACCCTGTGTTGCCTCCCACCCGAAATGATAATCTACACCAATCACTGCTCTGCTTCAGTGCACCTGCATCCCATTTCAGCTGCAGATGTTACAGAGGTTGCAGAATGCATGCTGCAGCCTGGCCTCCTTCCTGTTCATGCCAAGCCCCTCACCCTACCTCAAAATCCATCCTCTACTATTTTGCCGGAACAGCCCTGTTGCTCTTCAGGTGCCTCCAGCCCAGCTATGCTTCCATCTTGTCTGAGTATTTTTGACTCCGTGGTCTTTATAAATAAACAACTAGAGTCTTCAGTGGGCATTTTTAGAATTGGATTGCCAGAACTGTCTATAAATGCTCCCAGTGTGTGCTGTCAAGTGAAGGATTAAAGGTAGCTGAAATTAAGATGTACTCAGCAGCACCCCTCCCAAAAATACGCTTCCAAACTGCTGAGTAAAAGCACAAGTAGAAGTAAACTTGAGCCTCCGTCATGCCTCTATGAAGTAAGCCATCTTCATGCAGCTGCCTCTGGCAAATGTAGGAAGAATTTGAGCCCTGTTATTTTCCTGACTGTATTCAATTATGATTTGTTCTCTAGAGAGTACAATATTCACAGAGGAAGGAGCTTTGGGAAACTCAGGGAAGAAGCAAACTGAGAACTGGTTTTGGGATGACTCTGTGTAAAGGTGTGTCCATTGCCAGCTCTGTGCTGCTGTTCCTCTGTTTGTAGAATGATCTGTTTAGGACAATTGGGAGCCCATAGAAATCTCCTCATAACCTCAGGGGCAGCAAGTCTCTTCCCTGCACCAGCTCTAAACACTTAATTGCAGACTGCCTGCTTCAGACCTGACTGCTTTTCTCTTTTATTGGTTTAGTTGCTGCAGGAACCACGCTTGGCATCAATGGAGCCATGGAGCTGCTTTTCAAAGTCATCACTCCCTACAGCAAGCAGCACATCAGGACTGTAAGGTAGGCACTAGCCCAAGGGGAACTCATCTTTCCAGGCCAGCAAGAAATAAAATTTTGGTTCCACGTGAAAAGGCAAAGAAATCAGAAATCGATGCACAATTTCCATTCACTTTAAATCTGCAGATTTTTTTAAGAGGCAGAAATAGTTCCCTGAAGGACACGCTTATGCTGTGATTCATCATATGATTCATGCTGGTGGCTGTTTACTTGTAGTGACGGCAGTTTGATTACAAGGTATCATCCTTCAGTTTCCAGTCAGGACTGGAGTTTGAGAAGCGCATCCGAGCAGCAGACTGCTCCTGCCCACCCCTTAGCAAGAGCCTCCTGCCTGGGGCAGGTGCAGTGGAACTGTGGCAGATTGTCTTTTTCCTTGTGCAAAGACTTGTGATTAAATCATTCCAGTATTTTTGAAGAATAACAGTTCTAGCTAGTGTTAACCTAGGACTGTTCTGAAGTCCATTCTAAATATTTCAAATAGTATATTTGTACCTCTGTTTGAATATAGAATATTATTCCTCAAGCTTTCCGTTCTGGCAGTGCCTCAGATGCGTTTCAAGGTAGTACAGAAGATGAACATCCAAACCGTGTGGTTTGTTCATTGCAACCAGAAGGTAGAACTTACTGCTATGACCTCTGCCCACACATTTGCTTAAGCAACACAGAACCTGCTGGTTCTCTCCCGTAGACATGCTCTGCTTTCTGGAGCACGTTGTTCCTACTTGTTCATGAGAGCCTTAGCAATGATCAGTCAAGCCTAGCTTCTGTACTGACTCAACGTGGGTGCAGTTCGTGGATGGCGGTTACTGAAGAAGGAGCTTTAGGTTGGGTGTGATGTGTAGGTGACAGGTGGAAAGACAAATGTGGCACAATTTGATCATTTTATGCATAGCTGTCATAGGAGTGTGGGCCAGTCACCCTGGATGGGGGCACCAATAAATTGTGTCCTTTCAGTTGTTGTGACAGATTAATACCAGTTCTCCAAATACCAGCCACAACCAGTTACACAAAACACTAAAAAGGAAGGAATTTGAATTATTTTCCTAGCTCCAATTGATTAACTTGCAATCAACATTAGTTCTTTCGTTTGCTAATGCAGTCTTTTTCCAGTTTTTGTACCTATGTATCCGGGGTTATAAAAATTTGAGCACTTTGTCTTATCAAATAGGCCCAGCAGATGCACAACTTCCTACAGCTGCATTCTTAATGGAAGCCAGCTCATTTTTGTCTGCATTATTGGCTTTCTACTGTAATACTGAGTACCTGGAACTGCTTCACAGTGGTAGTTTTCTCTGCACCATCACTCCAAAAATATGATATGATCAGTGTGTTTCCAGCATGGGGATTTGGGTATCACTCAACTCCAAGGATATTATTGCTGTGGTGTTATTTCTAGGATATCTTAGTACCCTCGAAGTTTCTCTTCAGGCCTCCTGGTACAACTTTAAGACTCAGGAAGCCTAGAGAACTGTTTTATGACAGTAAGGTTCAAAATAAGTTAGTTCCAGAGTTGGACTTGTCTTCTGAGGCAACCAAAAGGGATTGATGAGTCCATTATCTTAACTAAGGAAATTCCACCCAATTCCCTGGTTTCCTTGTGTTTTCCTGAGGCACTGGCTGCAATTAGACTAACATTAGTACTACTTGTCTGTCTCATAGGTCAAGATCTGGGTGTAATGGGACTTGGGCCTCTATCATTTCTCTAATTCTTTGTTATGCAATGGGACTGGTTGCTTGAGAGCAGAAGAATTTTGTGCAAAGCTTCCATTTGTGGCTTTCTCTGAGGGAAGTGGAGAGGTTGGTTTGTTAAACATTCCTAGCCCAGGTTTTTTCTGAGATCCATTCAAAAGCACAGACTATAGACAACTAGCAGATTTTGGGTTTTGCTTCCTCTCAACTCCTGTAAGAATTCTCTTCTTAGATTTTTTTTTTTTTTTTTTTTTTAGAAGGGATATTATGGGAGAGAAGCAGAAAACAGTGTCAGAATTTCTGTTAATAAAACAGCAGTTTTGCTGACTAGCTAGGATTTATTTTCCATTGGACAAAAAGGTCTTGGTGTCTACCTCACTGCTCAGTTTCCTAATTTCCTTTTTCTGCTAATATATTTGGGCTCTTTGTGCAATGTATTTCCATGAGTATGAAGGTGGAAGATGAAATCTGTTCTACAACCTACCTGATCTAATATTTCATTTGGTGGCTGTCAATCCTGCCTGTGGCAGGGGGTTGAAACTTGAAGATCCTTGAGGTCCCACCCAACCCACGCTATTTTGTCATCCTATGATTCAGCTGGACTACTTCACATCAGAAGCATGAAAGCCTGTTTTGTTTTAAAAAGCAGTTGCAACCTATTTAAAGGCTCTAGTTTCTAATTCATTAGTGGGGATGGTGTTTGTTTGCTGTCTTTTTGGGTGTACTGTTCTTGAGACTGTTTTCCCCAACAAGCACTATTGCTGGCAAGAATGTAGGTCCTGAGACTGGAAGTCTAGACTGCAAATGGGTTGCAGATCTTTCCCAGTATTAACAAATACCTGGGATAACTATGGTTTGAAAACAGAAGGCAGTTTAAAGTTCATCAGAAAATGGAGGTATGTGTAAAATGCCAGTCTGTTTTTTAAGTAGATCTAATTAAAGAAAATTGTAGGGTTACTCTGGAAGGGACTTCATGGATGGACTTTTTGAGATGCTGAGAAAAAGAGTCACATGCTCTGTCTAGTTCTGCGTCTGTTGTTGGTCATCTGACTCAGACTGCACAGCTCGTCCCAAAGCCCCTGTGCTGAAATCTAGGGGAAGTTATTTTGGTGCAGTGAGTTGGTCACAAAAGCATATGCTTCTTTTTTGGCTGCTGGTATGGGACTTGAAGAGAATTCTAGCCTGTAACCTGCCTACAGAGGAAATCTTGCGATGTCCTCCTTGCAAGTCTCTGATCCTCCCTTTGTATTTGCCCTTGATAGCTTCTCTCCATAACCACATACCCCCATGATTTGCCTTGCTGCTGGGAAGGAACAGCTGGCAACTGTGGGGGCAGAGATAATCCATGTTCTTTGATCAGCTGCCAGGAATGCCACATTGAAAATGCACTTCTCTTGTGGCTGCACCCGTGTTCTCCTGTCCTGGGCAGCAGAACCAATGTCACTTTAAGAATCTACCCTGGAGAGTGTGCTATCAGAGCTATTTATTCAGCCAGCTAAGATGTGGAAACAAGATACATAGTTCTATTTATTTTTCTCAGTGGCAAAGCTCTGGGGTATTTAGAAATAGTCTCCAATGCTCCAATTGACCTTTTCTGGGTGCATGCCAAGTAGCTCTGATTCCCCTGAGACTGACTCATGGACTTTAATTGGTCTTAGTTAGGCATCTGAGGTCTTCAGATTGCTGGTGCCATAACTGTGGTTTTCTCTAAGACTGCCTGCATCTGAAGCAAAACCCACAGGGCAAAATGTGAAACTTACTGGGGTTTAGAGAACTCCTAACTTGAGTACTGTCAAATCTGAGTGAGATGGAGACTCTAGACTGTCTTGTCTGTCTTGTGTGGTGTTGTGTTGCAGTGAAAGCTTTCTAGTTCATTTCTGTAAGGACAGTTTTAAATAAAGCCAGATGTTCTGTTTATGTCAATAGTGAAGTGTGTGAGTGGGATGCTCCGATCTTTGCTGTCAGCACCTCCTCTAATGTAACACCACTGGTGCCCTGGTGCCTCACACAGTTCAATGACTCCTTTCACCTTCCGTTATTCCCTGTATCTTCTACTAGTCTCCCACTTTTCCCATGTCTCTTTCACCAGTCTTGCTCATCTTCCCAGTTCACTTGCTCTAGGAGACATTTGGATGTTTTGTGGACAGATGGATGTGGCTTTGGCAGATGTCTGTTCTCTGAAGCTGGATCTCTTCTTCTTGGATGTGTCTCCAGGTGGCCAAGCATCAGGTATCCTCCTCAGGCTGCTGGCACATCAAGCAAATAGCTTTGAGGGCTGCATGTGTTGTGCCAGTCTCTTCTTGGATACCTTGAGTTGAAGATGGATTATCAAAGTAAAAATCCAGAACTTGATTCTTTCACATAGGGAATATTCAGTCTTTAGAAAATGGCAGGTGAGTGTGAAATTGTAAGGAAGGGAACCTCTCAGACATTATCATTCTCTGTTGTTCTGAGAAGGTTGGTGGGCATTCTCACTCCTACTGTTTTAATCAAACCAATTTAGAGAATGTCTTTGTTCCTTAAAGCTTTACATCTATTTACCACACTGAACAATGAGTACATCTATTAAACACAGACTGTGAGAAGAATGAGTGCTCATCAGAATTAAAAAAAAATAATAAAAAAATAATCTTGCTTTCTGTGAATGTTCGCAAAACTTAGCTTTCTTCAGTGGGTTGTTCTTAGTGAAGTTTGACTACTTAATTAAAAGCAAAAAGTGAATTAACAAGTCTGGGAACGGTGCCAGATCAATTCAGTAGAAGATGTAACATGAAGAAATTCTGTCTTTGCTCGTGTCCAGGGTTGCCTGATTCTGACACTGAATCACAAATCTGATGTTTAGTGTTTGTTGGGTGGTTCCAGCTCCTCAGACACTTGCAGTGGATCTTAGTTTCCATGAAAGGCAGTAATTCCTCTCACATACCCACCACAGATAAAATAGTTACATGGACTCCTTGTATATTTAAGGAAAAAAGAAGTGGGGCTGTCTTTACCTTTATCAGGTGTTTGCCACTGGAAGTCTGAGGGGACTGTCTGACTCGAGAATAATGTGGAAACAGCGTGATGGGAATTCAGGGTTAAGTCGGGTGGATGGATACTGACTTAGAAAGTGTTCTTCTCCAGCTGGTCAGGACTCAAAACCCAGGAGGAGATGAGAACACCTCCTGTGTGTTTTCTTTGGTGATACTTGTTGAGGGCTGTCTTGAGTTGGGCAGTGACTCGTGAACCTGAAAAGCTCAGAAGTCAGGAAGTGATTCCACTGTCATCGTATTGTCATCACGTACTTCTATCATAATGGGACCTGAGAGATTTTT